CTTTCCTCACAGCGAATAAACTACGGAACATATGATGTTTTGATGCACCAGTTGAGATAGTTATTAGGAACTGGTCCAAAGGCAGCTGGTTATCCATGTATTTTAGGTTGTCGAAGACTCGACCGCCTCATTTTGTTTAGCTTGTAGATACCCTCCCTGGCTTAACCAGCTTGCCTAAGTTTGCCCTCTCCACGTGCTTTTTGGTTCTCTTTCCCTACAAAACATATGCTTCTTTCCAAGATTTAAACTCTTCTTTCATTTATATATTTTTTACGTTCAGAAAAAGCTTTTTTTACTTCATTTTCTATGAACCATTACCCAAAAAGACTCATCATTCCTCTCTCAGAAGGCCACTCTCGTTTTCTTTTCTGACGGAGATCATGTTTCTTCTTGAGATGCGCAACATGAATGCTTGCAAGTACAGGAAATTGTTTTGGGTGAAAACTGAAGTGCCAACCAGTGCGAGAAGGTTTTGAGGGAATTGGCTGCGAAAATCAAATCGTACACTTGGAGAGTGTTCCACAAAAATAACGGTAAAACCCGTCAAAAATTACTAAGAAGGAGCGTGTTGGTGATATCAGGAGGTGCGATAAAGACAGTTATTGAGGACTGCTCCGAAGACTGCTGATTATCGGTGTACTCCCGGTTGCCGAATACTCGACCGACTTATTTTGTTTAGGTAGGATATATCTTCCTTGTCTTAACCAGCCTCCCTAAGTTTAACTCGGCTACATACCTGTTGCTTGTATTTTCCTGCAAGATATATGCTTCTTTCAATGTTTACGCTCGTCTTTGATTTAACTATGTGTTATCTTCGAAGAAAGCATTTTTTATTTGATTTCCTATAAAGTACTCAATAGTGACAAAGACTCATTATTCCTCTCTTTCAATACCACTCTTCTTTTCTTTGATGACGAATCTCATGTTACTTCATGAATCGCGTAACATGAATGCTTGTAATGACAGGAAATTATTATGGCAGAAGTCGGAAGCGCCGACCACTGCGAATAGGTTCGGAAGGAATTGGCTGTTAAAATGGTATTGTATAGTTATAGAGTGTTGCACAAAATAACGGCAAAACCTGTCAAAAATTAGTAACAAACACCGCGTTGGTGATGTCGCCAGGTGCGGTGAAGACGGTTATTGGAGACTGGTCCGAAGGCAGCTGGTCATCCATGTATTCCCGGTTATGGAAGACTCGACCGCCTCGTTTTGTTTATCTGACAGATATCCTCCCTGGCTTAATAAGCTTGCCTAAGTTTGAGTCCGCCGCGTACTTGTTGCTTGTATTATCCTACAAGACATGTGCCGCATCGCACGGTTGAAGCTCGTCTTTCATTTAAACCTTTCTCATTTTAGTGTGCATCTATTCCTACTTCGTACTCAATAAAGTTTGCAGCAAAGTTTGAATATTATAAATTGAATAGGAACACAGGTCAGACGAACCCCTAATGCTCCTTCCAATAATATAATGAAGAATTATCACATCAAAAACAAATAACCTTAAACAAGTAAATTTTGGCTCAAGGAAACGTACAACAATAAGAGCTATTTAAAAATGAAACTAAAAATACTAAGAAAGTTACAAAGAAATGAGGCAAGGAAGTGTAAGGAAGAGACAGCAAAACTTCGAAAAATGTCACCAATTTCTATTTTTCATCTAGCGAGAATCAACTTCTTAATAACACCTTGCTCTTTTATAGTGTCTCTCTGGAAACGACCTTCCAATATAACCTCTATGAGCTTCCCCTTAGGGTCATGTCTGGTCCACTACAGTCTTCAACTCTTGAGGCCATTTCGCGTGCCATCGCGACAGTACGCAAACGGACGTAGTTTAAGACATGCTGCTTCAAGTCGTTGTCGGAAAGACTCAGTTCAATGTGATAAAGTCGCGAGGAGCAGGTTTTTGAAAGGGAGAACTAGATCGGCGGTAATCGACCGTTGTTGGGTCTCTCAAAGGGTAGACATTCTTGTCTACTCTGTTTGTCAAGACTAAAACGCTTACTTTAAGGATTTTTAAACTGCGTGCTATGAAAGTGCTGTTGTAGAGATGCAGAGCCCACGAGAAAAACTACCGGTAGTTTATATTTTGTAATAACAGAGTAATAACGGATAGAAAACAAGAGAGAGCTTGGGAATTGCACACCTTTGTAGATGCATCAGAACGGTCGTGCGCAGCAGGAATATACTTGAGAAGTCAGACCGAAGATGGATACCGTACAGATCTCATATTTAGTAAAAACCGATTATCACCAATGAAAGGTATTTCTATACCAAGATTTGAACATTTAGCTGTGCTAATCAGAGTACGAGCAACACGATATGTGGTAAAGAAACTAAATTTGACGATCTCGCATAAAGAACTTTGGTCAGATTCAAAATGTGTTACTTGCTAATGACATCTAAGTTATTATCAGTCCTCGTCATGAATAGATTAAAGAAAATTATGAAAGCTCAAGGTGTTGAAATTTATTATGTCTCATCGGAAGGAAACATAGCAGACTCGGCCACTAGAGGTTTCACAATCCAGAAATTAATCAAGAATCACCGCTGGTAAAAGGGACCTGATTGGCTACATCTGTCTGAAGAACCATGGCCTAATGTGATGCGTTATGAGAACCTGGAAAAAGCCAATGATGATGGAGAAGAAGTACAAATTGAGGCGTTAAACGTCACAAATGAACTACCCTGGATTAACGTTTCAAATTATTCTAGTTAGTTCAAACTTCTAAGAATAACAATATATATATTACAGTTCCTTAAACGTTGAATATGGCTTAAACTTTCAAATATTAATAAGGAGAAATTCCTCGTGATGCCTTTGTTTTTTGAGAGTATAAAGGAAAGTGGTTATATTAATGCACATAAATTACGGAGTGCAGAACATCTTCTAGTCCAAATGGAGCAACAAAAGATTTTTAGCAGACAATTTCTGACTATCAAAAGCGGCACCAAAGAGAAGCTTAAGGATAAATTAGGTCTTTATGAAAAAAGCGGATTGTTTAGATGCGCAGGTCGATAAAAAAATCTACCAATGCCACTAGAGACCAAGTATCCAGTATTAGTAAGCCATCAAGGACAAATTCCACGCCTAATTATAAATGAGGCTCATCTGCAAATGATGCATATGGGACTTCAAGCTACGTTGAGCAAAGTAAGACAGAAATGGTGGATAACAAAGGAACGCGCAACGGTAAAAAAGTATTTAAATCGGTGCATAATTTGTAAAAAATATCAAACAAAACCTTATCCACTTTCTACTATGCCTCCACTTTCAATATTCAAAGGCAAGGAATGTAGACCATTTAAAATAACAGGTTTAGATTATTTTGGACCAGTTTTAGTCAAACGAGAAGAAGATGAAAAGGGAATAATGAAACGATGAGTCTGCATATTCACTTGTTTGGTAACGCGCAATATTCATTTAGAGGTGGTCTACGATATGACCGACGCAAGCTTTTTGAACTGTTTCAGGAGATTTATAGCATTAAGAACTTCACCGACGACAATCTGCTCGTAAACGCAACACAGTTCAGAGCCGCAAATAGAACGCTAAGCCAATTATTGAACAACTTGATAGTAGATCCACAAGTATGTAGCTACTATGCTACTAAAGGCATTACGTGGAAGTTTATTACGAAATATGCGCCTTGGCAAGGTGGGTATTATGAAAGACTAATAGGTATTGTTAAAGGAACTTCACGAAAAACTATCGGCAGAAAGGTGTTAAAACTTGAGGATTTTAGAACCTTGTTATGTGATGTCACTGCAGTTATTAATTCACGCCCTTTAACATATGTTTGCGATGAATTAACTTTAACTGTTATACGACCAGTAGATTTCCTACAGTGTGGGGGTCCAACAGGGATTGCGCCCGTAGAAGCGTTTAAAAACCCCGATTATGTCCCTCCACAAGAACAAAAGGAATTGTACAATTTGTACAAGGCAAATTTAGCACTTACAGATATTTACTGGGAGTATTTAAAAGACGAATACTTGCTTAGCCTGAGGGAACGCCAAACAACCTTACATGAAAATACAAAACGCCTCAAGCAACAAATACCGAAAGTTGGAGACGTTGTGCTGGTCAAAGAAATATACCCCAGAAGAGGAGAGTGGGAATATGGGCAGACTAGAAGCTATACACATACGGAAAATAACTATGTAAAAAGAGTGACTGTTATTCTACCAAAATGGAAGCACATCGAGCGGCCGTTAAGTTCTCCTTATCCTATTGAGTGCGCATACGTTACGGTATTTTCAAATTTCTTTTGAAATAATCCATCTGTTTTTAGACTTCTCTAATTCTTAAGTTAATTTAAAGTTTTTGGTTTGTGGTTATTTAAAGTTTTTTTTGTTTATAATTGTTTATTACTTTTACGTTTTTCATTCTTAATACAGTAATCTATAAGTAGTACAAATGCACTGCAAATTTTTTCATTTTCTAATTTATCAGTTTTCTATTATTCTAAATAATTTGATAGTACGTGTGTATTATGATTCCTTTTATAATGAGCCAGAAAAGTAGTTCAATTTTGTGGGGAAAGTTAGTAGAGTTGGATCGTGGAGCAATTCATGTTGTTGCTCAACTTCGCCGAGGTTATGTCGCATTGGTATTGGATGTCAATGATGGGAGAAATCAAGAGTTACTCAAGTCAGTTCCAGTCCTGCTGCAGATCAAAATCAAGGAAATACTGAACCCATTTGATAAGGTTATGGTAAAATCTTATAAAATAATGCAGTTGAGGTCTGTCTCCCGCGAAGTACCAATTTTTGGCGAGTGCGTTATCGAATCATTCCTCCATCAAGGCATGTTACGTCCACACACTCAAACGTTTGATTTTTCTCTTGTTGAGTGTGCACAACCGTTCAACATACCAGCGATGGTACAATACGTAAATTCTAATCCACAAGCCGTATTGGTATCAGCACAAGGTTCGGCCAGAGAAGAAAGAGTATATGGAGAGAGAGTGCTTATACGTCATCGTTTAGACATTGCAATGATTGTTGATGCGGAAGTGATACATCTCGAGACGGGAAGATGCGAATACGAAACGACATGGCAGAGTAGAACTTTGAGATATTACTTGCCAAAGGATTTAAGAATCCAGAGAGAGGAGGTCATGAGTTGGGACTACATCATGTTTGGATTAGGTATCTCAAGGACTCCAAGTATACTCGGTAGACAGGTTCTATCCCGCAGCGAGTCAGGAAATTAAGTGGAGAATTAGAGGAACAAGTTCTTAGGTACGAAGAAATTTGGACAGCGTCAAGTATGTACGCGATGGAAAGCACAAAGACCGATTTTTGGTTATCAAGAGCAACCCCAAAGAAGGTTAAGATTAATATTTTATGGCGAGGTACCATTGGTTCGGCTAAGTTACAGTTCTTTATCTCGTACGACAGGCGAAATGATAATATGGAACGAATCCTGGCAGCACGAGAACGATTTTGGGTGATAGGTAACGAGATACGTATCGAGACAACCGGGACTAGTGCTCATTTATATCGTAGTGGTATGAAAATGACGATATTCCATGTGGACAGAGATGATTATGATAACATGACAGTGGAAGGAGTGATGGATGATTAAGATTTGCGTGGGAAGAGGCACCCTAATTAATTTCTCATGAGGATACGACAGGGATATTAATCTACCCGGACATGGATAACAGTGGCTACAAAGGGATAGTCAGCAACTTTTCAGTTTATCGACTTTCTAGGGCGTTTAAGGAGGAAAGACCCACAATTAGGAAAGAAATGTTACGGACATTGATGCGACTAAATGCCATGCCAGAAGAAAATATGGAAGTAGACGTCTCACAGGCGGTAGTGCCATACGAAAAGTTGATAAAGAATCAGCGAGTCAAGATTCAAGGACAGCAAATGAAGGTTAAAGGTGAGCAGAAAAAGATTCTGAACTCATTGGAGAATCCTGGCCAAAAGATTCTGGCAGTACAGGCTCCAGCAGGTACGGGTAAGACCAATACTATTTCTTTATACATTTCTAAATTATTAGAACGCAATTTAGGTATAACCCTTGTTACAGCGCCTACTAATTTAGCAGTACAGGAAATAGCGGAGAAGGTTCTCAGTCAAAAAAGGCTAAGGAATGGAGATATCATCTTTTTACAGTCAGCAGCTGATGAAGAGATGATGGATCAGAAGCAAAAACCGAAGGCGTGGGTATCTTGTAGGATTCCAGAAATCCTACAGGGTCACATGTGCGATGAGATGCCAGAGGCAAACACTCCATTCGTAAGAAGATACTTATCAAAGCGACTAGCCCATGATAAAATACTTACAAGGAAGGTGAAGCCATCAAGACCGCAGTAGAGATTTATTGGCCGAAGATAGTGATTGGAACAGTTCCAATGATCCAGATGTTTATCCAATTATGGGAAGAGTTTTTCCGAATGTATGAGTTAAAATATTTAATAACTGATGAAGCAGGACTTCTCCCAGAAATGAACCTGGTAATTATGATTGCAAACTTACCTGGTATAAAGAAAGTTTTAGTAATGGGTGACCAAAAACAACTGCCACCGTATACAGCATACCTGACAGACAACGTAATACAACTGGGACATGAAAGTATCATTCAGGAATTGATGGAAAATCGATTGGTAAGTTACGTTTGTCTTACGGTCAATTTTCGTAGTCATCCTTACTTAGTGCATGCGCTGGCAGAAGCTTCATATGGCGGAAACTTAACCCCAGCTTAAAGGGTGATGGACCGAGTCAAGTGGAGAATGTTAGGGTTACCATACCCGAACACAGATCTACCCATTTTATTTTTACATACCAAGGGTAGGGAAATTTTAACACGAACGAGGAGCTGGACGAACGATCTTCATAATGAGACCGCCATAAGGCTTCGGAGATTTATCATGGCAAAAATCCCGAACGCAGACGTAACGATACTCTTTTACTACTCAGCTGCAGTAAAGAGTATCGAACAGCAAGATCCGACGGCCGCAGTGTACAGCATCAACTGCTATCAGGGCGGAGAGTGTGATTTTTGTATTATAGTTACTACATGTGTAGCGTCTAATAGTGAATCTAAAAATTTTAATTTTGTTTTAGATCCTCAGCGAACGAAAGTAGCACTATCGCGAGCGAAAGAAGGTGTAGTAATAATTGGAGATAGGGACGTGCTTTTTCAGTCGGAAGTTTGGGGATCGTTCATCAATAAATATTCAGAGGCCTCGGGTAAATCATCATTATTTTATGGCTGAATTCGAGCAAATGAAATACCGCAACCAGGTAGGCGTTCTTATTTTTCATAGTAAGACTGCCACCTGGTAAGATTTTTCACTAATTTAGTAAGTATTTCAATTCAGAATTTTATTTTTTTGTTTTTTGTTTTGTTTTTCTACCTCTCTTTTATTTTTCTTTCTTATTTTCTATTCTTATTTTTATTTTTATTTCATTTTTATCTTATTCTTTATTTTCATTTTTCATTTTATCTTTGTTTTATTTTTTACCTTATTTTTTATTTTTATTTTTGTTTTTGTTTTTGTTTTTGTTTTTGTTTTTTTATTCTCTTATTTTTTTTATTTTCTGTGTTTTTTGTTTTTTCATTTTCATTTTTATTTTTATCTCCTATCTATTTTTTTCTCTTTTTATTTTTTATATTTTTGTTTTGTTTTCATCTTTCTTTTAATGCACCTCAAAAGAGGCAAAAAGAGAAGACTCCAAGAAGAGCAAAATTTAAGTACAACAACAAGAAGAATTACAGTGATCATATGATTTTTTCTGGTAAATTATATGTTTTCCTTACATATTGTTTTTAAATGTTTTTTGGCTTTTATTTATTGATTTATTTAATTATTTCTTTAATATCTATTGTAAAAAATCAATAATCGGCACTTTCAGGATCCTGGCAACGCACATCCCAATGTTACTTCGCTGAAGCGTAATCTGGCCGCCTCCTTGTTCGTCGGGAGTGTCGCGACAATACGCAAAAGGCAATTCTAAACTACACTAGACTAACAAGGTCACTACCTACCCCTAGGGGGACGCTTCTAAAAGGTAATTAGATGATCAGTCTGCTCTACAGACTTTATATAAGATGTTGCGACAACCGTTGGGATCAGTGTTTTTTATCAGTTTTTATCAGAGTGTGCTTTGATTAGTAAAAAACACTTCAGTATTCAGTTTCGATCATTCTCGATAATTTTAATAAGCTCGTGCCAGATTATTGATTCAAATATTTAAAGTTTGTATTCGTGCCATTTAGCGATTTATTATATTGCTTCAGTGGTTTATTTGTATAACGTTTGCTCATACAGAAAGAGTCGGGCACGTGCCCTGTGACTCTTTTCTAATTATTGTTAATATATTTCCGGTTGATAAATTATATAATCTAAACCACTGTTGTGTTCAACAAGGCATCAATCTAAAAGGGAAACGGTCCACTATTTACACAAAAATACAGTCCTCTAAAAGCACTGCGTACGTTGCCAACCACAATCGTTTGCAGTAACTTAAATAAAATATTAATTGATAGGAATAAGTTCCCACAAGGGGACACTGTAGAGAAGCAAATAGTCTCTCAATTATTAATAAATTTGTAGGTGGTTGCGACAGGGGGAGTCTAACAACTTTGGTTTTTAGTTACAATAATAAATTAATAAGGCAGTGGTAACGATAATGATGAAACTGGGGGAAAGGGGGGGGTCAGCCTTCCAGTAATCAAATTCCCTCAGCGGTAAATTACCACAAAAGTCTCGCCTTTTGCTGGCAAGTCCGGTTCTCCTTTGATACATAGACAAGAAAGGAAAAGTACCAGGCGCTTTTAATAGGTATTAAAGTACACGCGAAGAAAACCTTGTTGTATAGCTCTAGAGTGCTGAGAATAAAAGTCACTGTTCTATATATTTTGCCTCTCGTTATCTGCGCTCTGATGCCAGAACGTGGCGTATCGAAAAAAAAAGAGTATAACCCGTCAAAAATTGCTAGCAAAAAGCGCGTTGGTGATATCAACAGGTGCGATGAAGACAGTCATCGGGGGCTGGTCCGGAGGCAGCTGGTTATCCGTAAACTTCCGGTTGTCAAAGGCTTGACCGCCCTTTTTTCGCCGAACGAAACGGTGTTTTTATCGATTTAACTGAAGACATATATTTTTTTGTCTTTAGACAAAATACGTATTTGAGCCGTTATTCAGTAACTTATTTAGACTATTTGATTCTATTACAGCGGATTTTTCTTTAATACACGTAATAGAAAAAACAATTACTGGTTCTTTCCTTCTTCTATGGATTCATTGTTCTTTTTAAGGGGAGTCTAACAACATTGGTTTTGAATAACAATAATGAACTATTACGAAAGTAGTAACCTCAATGATGGTAATGGAGAAGGGGGGGGGGGTGAGTCAACCTTCTGATAACCAAAACTTCCTCAGCGGTAAATTATTACAAAAGTCTGACATTTATGGTGCCAAATCCGGTTATCCTTTAATGCATAGACAAGAAAATGAAAATGTCAGGTACTTTCAGCGGCTTCAGCAAAATCCGCTATGAAAACGCCATTAAGGTGCTATAAAGTGGAGCAGATAAAAAATGGCAACACTTTGTATTCTATTTCTGGCTCTCTTTGCTCTAAAATTTGAAAATATGCATCAAAGGAGAAAATTCCACCTTTTTAAAGCTCTGCAGCGCCAATCACGCACAGCATAAAGAAGTAAGCTGTTACCTTACCTATATGGTTATCGTTGCGCCTGATTGCGGAAGCGGAGATTTCAGCAGTTTCCATACTTTAACCAAACTATTTTTATCTTTAGTTGAGATCACATGTTTTCATCAGTTCCAGTTAAATAGCCGCTCAATCCTCTCGTTTTCAAACGGGATATATTTTCGTACACAACACTTAAGGTGGTAAAATACTTGAACCTTTTCTATTTTAATACTAATGCTCTTTCTGTAATGCAGACAATAATCAAACTACTTGTTGTAGAAGGATTTTATTTGTCCTACTTTTTTTTTTATCAATTTGACTACCCTTCTTTTTCTAAATAGATCATATCTTTCTTTTTAGGGGTGTTGCACTACTAATTTTTTTTAATAAAAGTTGATTTTGGTAGTTCTTAAATAACGCGCTATGAAAGAGTTGTTGCGAAGGTCTAAAGCGGGTGGCGCAAAATTCTTCGTTTTTTTATAATTTGTCTTTGATTTTCTGCAGTTTGCTTTTCGTACGCTGCAACCTGCAGAAAAACGCTGCAACCCGTCGAAGGTTTTGTACAAATAGCGTGTTGATCATGTAAAGGAGGTCAGAGGGACACGTGTTGGGGAATGGTCGGAAGGCTGCTGACTACCTGTGTTTGTCACACTTGTTAAAGGCTTGACCATTCAGGCTTTACTCAAGAATGCTCTCTGTCCTTTTCTTGGTTTAACTGGAATAGCATACTTTCTTCAGCTCAAAATGACTAACTACCGGTTGCTTTCGTTTTTAATCGGAGTATACGTTTGCGCGTAGCATAAATGGCAGTAATTAACTTAGTTTTTTTTTAACTTGCTATCAAAACCTCTATGCACTAGATAAGCATGGTACAAGCTGGTTGGTGTAGAAGACGTTCATTTATTTTCTCTGTTTGAACTCCATTCCATTCTTAATCGGTCGCATAATTCTTCTCAAGAATTTTACGTAACTTCCAGTTTTAAAGGAAAGGCTAGCAGATCGTCACATTAGAGTTAGAACATTGATGCTTTAAGTAATTCCTATAACAGGCGGTTCAGCTAAGTAAATTAACAAGGTCAGCTTTCTTAAAACTCGGACTTGATCACTGATAAACTGCTGCATTCACATCGGTTGGTTACAGGCCCAATTGCCTTCTGCTAGGTCTAGTGGAATGCAAAAGCACGACATAAATTGGGTAGGTTTGGAAGAATCTGCTATGAAGACGATGTTGTACAGTTGTGGAACAAAGCCATTAGAAGCTGTTGTGCTTTTTGTCTTGTTTTCTGCTTTCTCGCGTTAGCACGCAATGGATTGGAAAAAAAATGAGCGATGCAACTCGTTTTCAACAGACAGCGCGTCGATCATACTAGAAAGGAAGACGGCACTGCAAAAGCTAGTCAGAAGGCCGGCTGCTGAAGCGGTGACTAAAATCGTTTTGTTCACTTGACTCAAGCTTTGAGTGCTGTAGCTAAAATTCCATGCTTCTACGAGTCCAGTTGGACGGGTAATGGCTCTTTTTTTGTTTGTTTTGTTTTGTTCTTTTTTTGTGACGTTTGTGATGGTGATTTGTTTAAGTTCTTTGTTTTTAAATATTAAGGCCATTTTACTCGCACAGGCAATGATCAAGTGGATTAGTTTAGGAACTTCTGTCTCCTTAATCTGATCATCCGTATCTTTTTAGCGGACCTTGTGGTTTTTCCTAATGAACGTCGACAACAATTTCATGTTGGTAATTGATAATGAATTGTTACAATTAAAACACCTCCTAGCTCAAAGCATTTGGCTGGGGGATGCGGCATATCTTAAGTAATTTACAACAATTAAACGGTTAGAGACGCTAAAATTGACGGCTTAGACCGTTCAAGAGTTTCGACGGCGGCTTTAAAACTACCTTTGAAAAATTCTCTTCTTTACGATATATACCAGTGGTATTTCTTAAATGTTTTCGTGAGGCTTTAAGAGGCCACTGTGTAAATGTATTCTAAGGGTGTCAGAATTTTCTGACAACAAGCGTACATTTACAGCAAATATTCCTAATTGGCCAAAGTTATTGGGAGTTTAGACAAAATTCTGCTTGTGCAACAGCTGAATGAACCGATGTTGGTTCTTATTTTCAAGCGTGTAGTATGTCTGTAAAAAAGGTTTTTGTCGTAACTTGCGTAAATTTTTTATTGTGATGTAAATAAATTTTTTTCTCGAGAATAGTAAATATGTTACGTTTTCTCTTAAAACTGATTTTAATGGAATTTTGTGTAGGAAAGTTTCAGTTAAAAAGTTGTTTGTCATATGGCTGCTACAGCGCCCTCAGTTTTTTTTGTTTTTCTTATGAAAGCCATTTTGCGGAAGCTGATGCTGGAGTGTTAGAAGCTGCTTACAATGCCTCCGATGGGTAGGCAGAAACAGGTTTTCAAAAGCTTATTTAGCCTTGCAATGTAATAGGGATTTTGCTAGTATACTGAAATGTGTTTTCTCACGACCAATTTGAAATTTTTACTTGTACTAGTTTCGTTAAAAAATTTCTTGATGTGAATCTCTTCTGACCTTAATTGAAGAGTTCGAA